TTTCTTGTTCCGGAAAACATAGAACTAATAACTTATCAGCTGACTTTCAACTTTTCCACGTTATCACCAACTGATGGAACTGGTTACCCAAACATGTGGTCTAAACGTTTCCAGTCTTTTTCAAACAGAAACTAAAATTGTTACTTTTGCGGCCTTCTTGTTAAAATACGTTAGTTATACACTATTCTAGGTCACTAATATTTAAAAAGTCTAGGCGTGATGGGGGGTACAATGAAGAAAAAAGTAAGCTCGCTCTATATGATGAAAATATTTATATAATAGCACACAAAAGGTCAGGTTGTTGCGTTTCTCAGTCAGAAACAGGCAATGAGACGCTTGCAACTAAATCTACCAAATTTTAGGTAAGTTTCTTATTTGTCTAATCATGCTTCAGACGGCTATGTATTTTGAAAGGAATATATCCAGTAGAACCTAGAAGTCGAAAGAAGGTTGGTAAAGGGAACAGCCAACCCAGGGTTTATTATAATGCGAAAGACATTGCGTTTTTGTCACACGAACCTTTGATAGAAACGTTCAGAAAACTTCGTGTATTCCATATAAAGCTCAAGAAGGCACGAGAGAGAAAAGATAAAGAAAAAGAGTTTCGAGTAAGAATAAATAAGCCAAGATATACGTTGCATCAGATCGTCAAGGAAAGGTATGTTTCATACTTTCATTCACTGGATTTTAGGTATCCTACGAGGCAGGATGCAATACGAGATATGAGTGACAGTCTTAACTTGCTGTTTCTTTTCGCGAAGCTTCCTAAGCTCACTCAATTCCACCCGTCCTTGATATCTATAAGCCGAAGACTATGTGTGGAGTTCTTGAATCTTGTTGTTGCAACTCAAGCAGTTCGAAAGGTTAATTAAAATAAATTAATAATTAGGTCAAAAGGCATTTATTAGCATAAAAGGATTTTATATTCAGGCTGAAATTGATGGAACCCCAGTAGTTTGGATTATGCCCCACGCTTCAGTTACTCACACTCCTGCGGATGTCGATTACCGTATATTAGCAACATGTTTAGAATTTGATGCTACACTTATTGGATCTTTGATGTGCCAGTAAGTTTCTCGTTTAGTTTGACCTTTTCAGCCTATACCGTATCAATAACCTAGTGTATCCTCCAAAACTCGCGGTACGTGTCGAGCATGATCCTAATGGTTACTACTGCGGTCAAAAAGAGAGCCTTTTTGAGGTAGTTTCGTATTCCATTCTATTGTGAACTACCATTTTAGTTTATGTCCTCTCTCAGCTTTCCGTTAAAACGCACAGAGCCTTCAAACGACATTGATGCTGATGATTTGACAGAGCTCCAGGTAATTATTGTTTTGTGATCGGATTAGTCGGTAATAACTAAGACAGTTATTCCATTAGGTAGAACTAATTAATTTTGAAAACCGGTTTTCAAGGACAATACGAAAAAATTCTGACATAAAGCACCTCTACTTAAATTTTACGTTTCGCTAACAAATAATCATTATTATAAAGGATATCGATACAAATGGCATTCAGATGTTCAAATAAATGTGCATTATGATCGATTCACATATCCTAAAATACACTAGTCGAATTGTAGTTCAAGACGTTTATTGATGACTTGATTCATCTTTATATTACAACATGAACAAGCTAATACTTTTCCTACCTAATTCCATACTACTCGGCATCTCGTCTTTCTAAATACTGGCTTTTGATGCATACATGTTGATACATCAACATTATGTGACAGTCTTACTGGATGAAACATTACATGTAACTTGAAAACTGCTCAGATGATCTGTATTGATAGCCTCCTGTTAAATCTTTATTAAAACGATTATTTAGTAGGGTTTCGTGCTGTGTTACTGTACTTGTGGTTTAAAGACTGATTGAACTGTTCTCATATAAATAGTCCTATTGCGGACTCCATATCCGCAGCTAGCACACAGCATATCAATACCTAGCAGCTAATATAAAAGGAAGATGAAGTCCAGGAAAGATTCGATTTCCAAGCAGAATAGCTTTTAATAGTTCAGCCCAGTACGTATGGTAGCAAAAGACCGTCCGAGAAGTACACAGCAAATTAGATGTGGTGACAAGCAGCCAGATAAGTTTAAGGTTTAGACGATAAATCAATTGGTATAAAGCATTTTCGTTTAGCGTTACTAATAAAACTTGGGCATTATCAATAAAACTTGAGTAACCGTGTGATCTAAATGCCTCTGCCAAATGTGGCATTCAAAACCAAGTACAAATTAGCGCCGAGTCACCGTTTGAAACCCACATATTTTAATCCTGGAAATATACCTCACGCAACAGATATAGCTTACTGTCCACTGTATAAAATTGTACGCGGATATTGAGTCACATGACATTCCTACGATTTTATTCATTTGTATACATACTGTGATCATTTTCGTAAAATTTATTCTATTAATATCTTCCGTTCAATGTCATCTTGCTTACTAAAAGTCAACTAATTTTTACCCACTTGTTCTAGGAAACATACTTTAATAAACTATAAACTTGAAATTGTACGCATTTTGAGAGCTTTCTGCTATAATAGCTATCCCACATTCAAGTGGTGTTAAATGTCCTTATTTTCCGTAAAATCAAACGTTCATTTGTTTAGAAATGAGCGTAAAATCTCAGTGCGTTAAAAAATTTCCTTAGTATATCTCAACCTTTGAGGTTCGTTTTTATAATCCTAGGCTATTGATGAGCAAGTCTCCCAAGCAATAAACAAGCAATTAGAAGTTCAAAACCTAAAAAAACTTTTCATGAACAAACGGTTCTTCCTTATGCGTGAAGTTCCACGAGAAGTAATATGTTTGATTATACGATCTTGTGGTGGGGAGTGTTCCTGGGATAAAATCGTTTCTCCTGGATACACATTCCAAGAAGATGATCCAACTGTTGATTATCAAGTAGTAGATCGTCCGATGACGGATATGAAGCTGACACGGTAAGTTAGTCTTATAGTTATCTGTTAACCACTTCAACTAAATTATTGGTGTTTAACTAATTAACGGTATTCAAAGATTACAGTTGGACGTGTTGACCGCTTTACTTGTCTTGGGAGTCTCATCAGTGCTGATGGCCTGGTGACTGACGAAATCTCAGCACGGATACAGAAAGCTCGATTGGCTTTTGCCAACTTGCCTTACTTATAGCGTAGTCAACATATCCGTTCGCTAACCGAGAGACGAGTGTACTGCGCAGCAGTTCTCTCTGTCCTACTATATGGCTACGGAAAATTGCCAGTCAGAGTAGAAGATATTCGTAGGTTGCTAGTTTTCGATCATAGGTGTATCCGAAGCATTGCTCGTGTATCCTGGGACGACCGAGTAAGCAATGCTATCGTTAGGAAACAAGTTCTAGGTAAGGATGGCAAATCAATAGATGAAGCATTGAAATTTCATCAGTTGAGGTGGCTGGGACATGTGTTACGTATGCCTAACCACCGACTGCCTCGACGAGTGATGTTTTGCGGTGTAGGAGTAGGTTGGAAGAAAGCTAGGGGTGGCCAAACCAAAACATGGCACAAATCCGTGAAGTCACTGACAAGTGGACTGAGTCATGTTGGTAGATGTAGGCTATCTGGTTGGGGTCCGCTAGAGTAAAGTCACTGATGGTTAGAGACCTTGAACGAAATGGCTCAGAATCGTTTGCAATGGTGCGGGTGCATCCACTCTTTGTGTGCTTTTTAATTCTAACCTGAATTCCTCATAATCTCTATATTTCTCCTTCTAAATTTATCTTACTGAATTATATTTTTCGAATCATATCTTTGCTCCCTAATCTTCTCCATTGCTGCTAATAATTCTACTATCGCTATCACTCTTGGATTTGAACTGAGTTACGTTTCTGTGCTGACGTGGTATGGCAACCTAAACTGATGTACTTATGTACGAAGTTCTGCGTTGTATCTGTCTGTCCAAACCAAAGCAGGAAAAACCACTAAGTAGACTCACTACACTTTGGAGCCAACACAACAGTTTTAAATATATGTAGCGGCTTTGTGTCTGTCAAGTAAAGACTAGATAAAAGTCGATGTATCCGATTTTAATGAGAAATTCGGTTTTAGTTGAACTGTTGTGACAAAGCTTCATTTTTTTTACATACCAGCTTCACATTAACTAACTAAAAAGTGCATTCAAAAAATAGGAAAACTACTCAGTCTGTACCTGGTTGACTAAAACGAGCATGAGGAACATAATAGCTGACACGAAAATGTGATCTTCGATGCCTCATCACATATTAATAGTAAAAGTAAGGGATGAAGATAATACTCCCAACTTCAGTTTAACTCAAGGAAAGAAAATAGTCCTCAAAATTCCTAAGGATGATCAATGAGCTGAGAACTTGTCTGTTTGTGGTTAATAATGTAGGCTTTTGATGTTTTCTATTCCATAAATGTTGTAGCTGAATATGAACTAAGTTACACATTTTCTTGCAGAAAATAAGTAAACTTTCGAAAACATATCTTTTCTGGATTATCAACCCAAACCGAATGGTATGGGCTACGGTAGACGTTTTAGTCTTTAGATCGGTATACTAAATCGCATATAGACGTAAATGTATGATACGAATTCTTGCCATGAACACTGGATAGATTGGTACCTTTAATCTTTCTGCTACTTTGTCATTTCTCGCTCTCAAAGTTTAACATAGCAATGGGATTCTTTAACTGATGTGAACCAAGAAAGTTTCAGCAAAAGACATACCTTGGTTTCGGTTCTGTTAAGTTTTGGTCTGGTTATTAAAATTTTTATGATTAGATTCTTATTTAAAGAATCGTGTTTAAAACCATCTTTAACTAAGTCTTCTGTTATTGTTCCACAATAGTTACTATGTCCAACCACAATGGGTTTTTGACTGTTTAAATGCAGGCAGACTGCTGCCAACACAGGATTACCTACCGGGTTGTAGCCTTCCACCTCATTTAAGTCCGTTTATTGGAAGCTCTGGTACTGATGAACTTTTAGACACTGCAGTCATGTCACTTTCACACCGTGGTGGACTTGTTGGTGTTGCTCCTGGGTTTGGGGATGGCGCATCCATCTATCGTCCACCGGAGGCTGATTATCTTGCTGGTTTGGTGAGTCTGGCTGAAATTCGTGGGGCTAAAGTTCAAGCCCAGTGTGAAGGCACTACCGAGAGTCAGTCAGAAGTCGATAATGACGTTTTGAATGATTCTTCTACTACGAAAGAAAATAAACCCCCCAAAAATATACAGACGAAGGAGCGACGTAAACTTAAGAAAGTTTCAAAAGGTATGCTCTGTACTTGTCTACGCCTTGGCTTTCTCAATACTTTTTACACGTAATGTTTTAGTAATAGTAGGTTAAAAATTAGTTCGAAATTATTATCACTATTATTGTTATTATAATTATGGTACTTATTTGACAAATCCAGGTTTACGTATTCATTTTTGTGATATACTATATTGGGGTTAGTGATATTACTCGGCTAAACAGATGAAAGTAGGTAGAGTCGGGTTCGATCCTGCTTTGACTAATAAGCCAAAGCTCTACATTCTTACACCATTAATATTTGGGCGGACGTGTATCGGTACCAAGCTTTGACTTTATAATTTAAAATGAATTGAGCTAGGGTAGATTGTTTATCATAACGAAATAATATACTTGATATCCTTTTATCATAATACTTGTTCTACGTTAGTGTACTGCTATTTTGAGTTCGGTCAGTCGATGATTAAGTACTTCAAAAACACCGCACAATTATTTCCTATTGACGTTAAAACAATCTAATGTAATAGGCTTTGGTACCATTTTCATCATCAGGCTACTTCAAATAGTTCACTCAAATGCACAAAACTTCATTGTGTTTAATAATTCATCATGAACAGAACAAGTTTAGAAAACAAAACTTTATAAAATCGAGTACCATTATATATCGGTTCAGGATATCAAACTTCTGGATAAAACCAGTAAAATCAAATATTAATGAAGTGAGTCTTACAAAGAACTTACGCTGACAACAAAGAAAAATACGTTTTAATAGAGTATTCAGTGTTGCCGAAGTACATATAAAGCACGATTAATTTATAATCATTTTTCTTTAAGTTTCTGTCAACATTTTCAACTAATTGGATTATTTCTGTTAAACGATCTCATTATTTTGAGGTCAGTATTTCCCAACGTTTGAGCAAGAAAATGTAACCTTCAACTCAGAGGAAATTTTCCATGACTTGTGTAGGTGTATTCAGTCTTTCGGTTTTCGGTCGTACCATTTTATGGTTCATTGTGATACAGAGAATTAATTTGAAATATTGCAAACCAGTCGTAGTTATTGTTTTATCTGTGTCGTGGTTACTAAATTAAGATAAAGATCGTTTCGAGTTATTTTTGATTCAAGATAAGATGTTATTATTTGCATGATTTTTCTGATAATTTTTATCTGTTATTTTTGAAACAACGAAATTAGGTGTGGAACCAAAGGTAACACCCGGTCGACCTGAAAGTAAAACAGTTAAAATGTACAAAGAGAAGGAGGAAGCGAATGCTGAACGAAAGTTAAGGGAGTTAATGTTGCCGAAAAAACACAAGAATGTATACAAGAAAATGGTCCATTCTATTAAGCGGAAAGAAAAAGAAGTACGCCAGCTGAAGGCAAAAAGACGTCGAATTGATATGTAAGTAGTAATATGGCCTATATCTTGTCGAATTCGGTTACTGTTTCCTTGCGTTATATCTAATTTATCCTGCATATGACATTTCGAACGCTCTAAGTAAACTGATTATAAGATATCACATATCTTAGTTGGATTCTTGGAAAGTATTTTAGTGAAAAAATCAAATTCACCATCTTTAAAAAGTAGTTATTCAACCGTGATCAGCTCTTCAGTCAGTTAGTCAGTTCGTAGAACTTCGTACGTACGTACATCAGTTCAAGTTGCCAGTAAGGGATTAGGTCTTACTGTTATTCAAAAACCTTGATAAAGAATAAATGCTTTTTTTGCACAATAGTTTATACATTTTGTTTGACTAGCGATTTCGATCTCGGCATAAGTTGTCAAGCTTTTTTAGTTGAAAACCTGGTTTCTCGTTTCATCTTAGTTGCCATTCAGTTTCAGTTGTACTAGCAAAACGATTAATCGACTGCTTATCAGCAGCATTTTCTATGCTTTTGAAATAGAGGATTCAGTCAAAGTAAGAGGTAACCGAGTTGGTGGTTATAAACATCCACCTACGGGAGTTAATAAACTCTAATTCCAAACCAGTGGTGCATATGGGCTCCAGGATCCTGAAGTAATGAATGGCGTATGAATCTTTTGTTGGTCACTGGCTACCATGAGACTGCATCTCCTTACATTGTCCCGGTGCCTTGGGGATCAGACTTCCAAGTCAAAGGCTTGGGGTGTGGTCCCCTACAAGAACCACCTGTTTCAGTTTGAGCGTTCGGGCAGTATTCCAACCAACTCACAAATCCAATAATTTGTATGGTAAACAAATATTTGGGTTCCCTTTTGTACCAATGTTAGTGTGTTGAAATAAATAAGTAAAATACAACTCTTTCTATAATTACATCGGTTACGGTCTAAGATCAGCCTTGCCGTCTGCCAAATGAGTTCAGCCAAACCTATTCAACAGATATAGTGGTAATATCTAAGGATTCGAATACTTATGTTTAAGTTCCCAGATATGAAGAGGACTATTAGGTTAAACATAGGTTATCAACCCACTGAAAGGGTCCGGTGGGGATTAGTTGAAGTATCTACAACTTTTACGTCAAAAATCCATCAAATTGTACATGCGTAACATTAGTTTGTAAAGCAAGTCTGTTGAATCATACAGGTTGGTGTCATGTGGTCTTTAGTAATAACCTCTGTCGCTACAAGCGACAGGGAATCACTGAACACCTGAGTTTATCATTGGGTAAGTTTTCTTAAAGAAATTAGTATGTTTTTATGAAATACAAACTAGGATTACTACCGGTATTAAAAAATATTGTGGACATAAAGTCCAAAATGGTAGACGTGATATATCAGCCATTATAGTGTTTAGCTATATCATCTATTTATTGGTTCTATAACAGCCTAAAATTGGTACTAGTGATTTTTCTCATCATAATTCAATATACTTTCATGATTTATTTATTTGTCTTTACTTTCAGGGGAACTGGATAAAATCTACAATTACCAAAATGTGATTTGTACAACAAAATAAAATAATTAAAAAATTCGACCTTTTCTTTCATTAAACGTGGTTTAACATTGGGTGAGAGGGATTTGGGTGTTTGTCTGTCATCTGATTGGCTACGGGTTCAAACTTTAACCCATATTGTCCGTTACTAACTGAAAAATGTTGACTGAAATAATTCAACTCATCTGCAAGTTTTTGTTTTAATACCCGTTTAACTATAGTGTCATCACCTTCATGAGTTCACTCACGTTTATAATAAGTGTATTTTTTCATGTTTTTTAATCTCTCAGACTAAAGAAACTTTACTGATATACTTTTTCGTATTATGCGTTTACCTGACTTCTGATTTAGAATTGAAAATCGTTTTTAAAAGACAGTGGTTAATAAAGAGCTCTACTTTTCTTTAGTACTGTTACATTCGGGGTCATGAAATCAGGAACAATAGTTGACTTATGACACAGAAAAAATGACTAGTTCAATACAGCCGAACAGACAAGGTTTACCAACCTGTTAGAACAGATTTAGTTTACAATTCACCAATGAAATGGAAGAAAATTATACAATAAAGTACTAGTTACTTATAAGTAATACAGTTTTAGTACAAAAATCTCACAAGATAACAAAGTTCAAATGCATTTCTCATGAAAGTTTGGTACTCTTTGAAATTTAAAAGTGATAGCATATTTTCTATTCTCATAGCTAATTCCCTTATGAAATAATTATATGATTTGATACTGCTGAATCTCGTTTGTGCCTTAAAGGGATAGATAATCTCGAAGTTAATAATTGTTTACCAATGTTGCCTGAGTCTTTCATCTTAAAATCTTAATGTAATGTCTACTATAGGAAGATCAATCGGTTCACAGATACATAGAAGCAGGTTAATGCTTCAAGTTGTATAGACTACTGAGTTTGAGTAATGCACGAACAACTAACGTAACAGTGAAATAAATTCATTTCATAATCTCTCAGCTGCTTGTGACTTTCAATCATGATGATGATTATTTACTAACAATGTAGACTGTATCATATTAATGAAGATCAGTAGAATAGCAATAATAAGTATGAAAGGATTCTAAAATATTAGAATGAGTACATATTTATGTTACGAAGTGAGAAAATTTCAGATGAAAAATTTTAGTACATTGTAAGGCATAAGTAAAATATACTGTCTGCCGTGAGCAACCAGTCAGATAATCGGAGGATGCTACTTATTTACAAAGCGATTAGTAGCAGAAACCAATAGAGCCTCGTCAGAATAATAGTGTTAATTAGAATAATTAATTGAATCGACCAGCTCCACTGAACCCACCCAACATTGAAGCAGCATCCACCAACAAGTGGAGATAAGAACGGCCGTCAGACAAATCAAGAGCAGCAAAGCGAGGGGAACAGACAAAATTCCAGCAGAGGCAATGGAAGCAGACGTAGCAGCAACTGCAAAAATACTCCACATTCTCCTCAACAATATTTAGGATGAAGAACAAGTACCAACAGACTGGAAACAAGGATACCTGATCAAAATACCAAAGAAGGGCGATCTCAACAAGTGTGAGAACTATAGAGGCGTCACTATTCTCTCGATACCAGGCAAAGTCTTCAACAGGGTATTGTTGAACAGGATGAGAGACTTCGCACAACATCATGTTGTTCAGACGAACAATGAAGGCTCCACAACCAAAACATTTAGTTCAGAGAACGAAACAACACCACATTCATCCACCTGAGCTACAAATTTCCTCTATCATCTTACAATTAGAAAAACAGTTAGGCAGCCATGTAGTAAGTGATTCGCATCCCGAAACAGCTTGGAATGATATCAAAAAAGCTGTCGAAACAGCGGTGATATCTGCTAGTAAGGTAAACAGTAAGTCTAGGAAGAAGCCGTGGATTTCCGTAGCATCTACCGAACTGATAAATGCTCGAAAACTTATCCCACCTGGCTCTGAACATGATGAAGAGCGAAGTTAGCTTAGGCGCAGGCCGATAAAAAGCCTACGTAACGACCGCGAACGGTGGTGGGTGGCGAAAGCAAAAGCGATGGAAAAGGCAACAGTAGACAAATTTTCCGCCTTATAAAGGAAACCGGTACTTGAAATCCATCTGTTAGCGAAACTATCGCAGAAAGAGATGGTTGTATCATTCATTCTCAATCCAGGACGTGGGATCGATGGTCAGAACACTAGGGGTCAGTTCAACTGGCCTTCTGCCACACTTTAGTTACCCATGACCTCCAGTCATCCTGAATGGCAAGTCGATATAAGTTGAGAAAGCTATAGGAAATCCGAAGTGAGGACGAGCTTCAGGGCCTGATAGGCTTACCCCTGAGATTTTTAAGGATGGTGATCCAGTTTTAGCAGTTAGATTGACTGAGATACAAAGAAGAATCTGGGAACTGGGCGTAATCCCATTTGACTGATCTCAATCACTGATTGTCCCAGTCTATAAGAAAGGATAAAAGTCTTGTGACAATCACAGGGGAATAAGTCCAACTAATATAGTATCTAAAATACTGGCCTCGACAATACTCCAACGCTCATGAAGAGCAGACTAGAGAAAACCAGGCTGGTTTCAGACCTGGACGTGGAGGTATAGACCAAATATTCACACTACGTCAGCTCCTGGGACACAGACACACATTTAAGCATCCTACAATACTTGTTTTCCTGGACCTTATCCTCGTCCGACTTTTCAGGAGTGGACCTTCTACCAGGAAAATCGCTTATTGACTTGGAATATGCCGATGACGTAGTTCTATTCGGTGAAGATGCTGACAAAATGCAGAGTCTTCTGACTACCCTAAGCAACAATGCAAGCATGTTCTGGATGCGGTTTTCTCCCTCGAAATGCAGAATGTTGCTCCAAGATTGGCTTGTGTCGGCCCTGAACTAGTGATAGGGAGTGAAGTATTTGAGTGGGTTGATCTCTTCACTTATCTGGGGAGTCGCATCAGTGCCGATGGCCTGGTGACTGACGAAATCTCAGCACGGATACAGAAGGCTCGATTGGCTTTAGCAAACTTTGTGTCACTTATGGCGAAGGCGAGATATCCGTCTGCTAACCAAAGGAAGTATGTACTGAGCAGGAGTTTGTTCCGTCCTACTATACGAATGCGAAACATGTCCTGTTACAGTAGAGGACATTCGTAGGCTATTAGTATTCGATCATAGATGTCTTCGAAGCATTGCTCATATGTCCTGGGACAACCGAGTAAGCAATGCTGTTGTTAGGAAACGAGTACTAGGTAGGGATGGCAAATCAGTTGATGAAGTATTGAAACTTCATCAGTTGAGGTGGTTGGGACTGCCTCGTCGAGCTATGTTTTCCGATGCAGAAATAGGTTGGACGAAAACTAGGAGCGGCCAGACCAAAACATGGCACAAATCCATGAAGTCACTGACAAGTGGGCTGAATCATGTTGGTAGATGTCCACTACCTGGTTGGGGTCCACGAGACGATAGTAATGGATGGTTAGAGACCTTGGACGACATGGCTCAGAATCGTTTGCCTTGGCGCAGGTGCATTCATTATTTGTGTTACCTCAGGTCCTAACCTGTATTACTCATTATCTCTATCTTTCTCTTTCTAAAGTTACCTCTCTGACCTATACTTCTTGAATTATATCTAGAGAACATGTTTCACCGAGAATTGGAAACAAACTTGAAAAAGATGAAAATTGGGAAGGACTGGAGAGGTGAGCCCAGGATAGAGTTTGTCGGAAATTGCTGGTTAGTAACCTGTACTCCATTGAGGGTAACAGGCGAAAGTAATTCGTGATGTCATAGAAAAAATAAATATATTGCTTTTTTCAAAAATCTTCTTAGATTCAGCGAAAATTTCACTCACAGACAAAGTTATCACATTTCATAAGATTAATAGGTGAACTGCGCAGTTAATTATATAGGTCTAGATTTAGTCAAGTTACTGTTTGTTAAGCACGACAGACAAATAATGAACTGACTTTATTAAAAAACAAACCATATTATCGAGGAGGTATGGTCCAGCTTTGATAACTAGAAAAGATATAATTACTCACTTCTTAGTGTTTGGTTAATTTGAAGTAAATTAACCAAATAACTGGAAAGTATATTCGATAAACAAGCTTTCTATGTAAAACATCAATTTTAAGAATTTTAAGTTGTCTTATATGAAAACATATTCGTCGTCTACTTTTCATGGTGTTTCCGTTCTTCTTAAAAAATGTCTTTCACACCGATTTAATTTCTTACGAACACTGATTGATTATGAGACTAAGCTTGATAAAGCATTTGTTCGAGGATACAGTGAAAACCGATATATAATGATATACAAATGCAGTTCATGAGTGTTTGGAATGACATTTCAGCTACCAAATCGATCAATTATAAAGGGTTTCAAGTTTGCTATGAAAGTAATATGAATGCTTAAAAATCTTTAAATAAAGAGTGGAGCAGATATATTTCATTAATATTGACGATTACTGTATAATTATAAACGGAAAAAGAAAATATTGTTTGACAACATATTCAAAAATTGTTAAGCAGAATTTGAAATTATACTGACAATCTTTCTTTAAACAAATTGGAAAGTCAATTATGAGAATAATTTGTTCTGCAAGGGATAAAAATTCTTGATTACGAATTTATAACTGTTGGAGATGTTAGATCTACAGAACTTGTTTGATAAATATCTTTGTTTTGGATTTTATTTATGGTCTGATCAGTTGACCTTGAGATCATATTTCCCACCAGCAGAAGCCTAGGCTGTGATTATTTACTGTGTTATTTAGGTGTTCTATTTTGTGACTCTCCCTAGGACGTCTCTATAGTGTATAAATAAACGCGATTGTGTGATGGCTGGGTGTCTGTAGAATACACTTACTACGCTATATCAAGACTTCTTGCTAATACATTACGGAAAATTGGATCATAGTAGCCTATAACGAGAGTAACAATTGGCAACGGGGATTCTGGCAAACTACTTGGTGGCTAAATTAGAAAAATTGTTTGCACAACAGCTGAAGTTGATGAAGATCCTTACTCAGACGCACACCTCTTCTCAATTCTCATCTACACCGAAAATTCCTCAGTCGGTTGATGGTATGACCAGTGGTATTTCAGAGTTTCTTTATGATTCTGATGGCAATCTAACATCTCATACTTGATTCAGGCGTTATGAAGATCTCCTCAAAGTTGATTTTGCTGACAGAGATTATTCCTGGAAGGTGCGTCCTCTCCTTCGAAAACTTGGTCAGTCTGAGCTGGATAAGTATTGCAACATCATCCTACCGCAGAACCCACGAGACCGTTCACTCGATGCTACTGTTCAGTCCCTCAGCAAACATTTTGGTGATCAG